ACTAATATCGACGATTTGTACTAAGTGCTAAAGCAAGAAGTGCAGCACAATTCTCGTCATTTGAAGCCTTTTTGAAGAAATAAGGATGGAAAATAAAAAACGCTATTTGACAACGTTTGAGATATTGTCGAAAAATGAAAATATAAAATGACAACATGTGTTCACATGTGTTCAATGTTAATGTCACACTTACATTGGTTGTTAGCGTTGTTTCATTTGATAGTCGTAGAAAAAGTAGCCGCACATTCAATGTTTCTTATGGAATCAAAAATTCCTGAAGTGAAAAACTATTTATGAAGGTACTACTGATGCACTTCAGGGTGTATCAGGTTTGTCTACAAAAGTTTTAGCAAGTGAAAATATGGCCCATTTTGAACGAAAAAAGTTGATACAGTTTGGGTTCAAACTCAACCATTTAAAAAAAAATAAATATCATGACAATGTTACTTGTAAAAGAATAGGTGGTTGAATGGATAAGAATTGATTCTTGATTTGTCATTGTCAGTAACTTGAAGTATTGAAAACGTTTTTTTTTTTAAATAAAATTTTTACAAACGTCGAATCTGCAGATGTTTCGCTTGTTTCACGGAGAATCGTTACAAAATGCTCATAAAGCCGCCAGAATTTACAGGGAAAGATTTCCTAATAGCAGGACGGCACCTAATAAAAGAACATTGTGCCCATTTTGCAAGGATTGCGTGATATGGGAAGTGTAAGCGTTCAAAAGGTTAAGGAAGGACCTGCCAGCCAAATGACACCTGCCGATGAAGAACAGATTCTAGCGATAGTGGAAGAAAGCCCTGGAATTAGCACTCGATCCATTGCCCGACAAGTTATATATTCCCACTCAATAGTTCATCGAACCCTCCGACTCTACCCGTATTATGTATTATTACTCTAGTTTTTTATTGGAAACTTTCTGCGCAGTGTATTCTGTCTTCAACCATGGTGATTTTAGTGTTAGTGAAAACCTTGTAGCAAAAATTAGTATTTTCATAATCAGGATTTGGCAAGTAGCTGAATACCTATTAATTAATTTTTCTCTTGAATGTTTAGTACAATTCACAACTAAATCAAATATGCACTTTTTATATTTTTACTACAAAAGTGATAAAAGTTCAAATTATTATTTACATTATACAGGGAGTCCCAGCCGAGAGTGACCCATTTCAAATGCTTATAATTTTTAAACCAGGTGTGCTAGCTACCTGCGGTTTACGCCATTGGAATTCTCTTGGCCTAAACTTTTCTTTAGTTAGTTGCAAATTTTTCTAATACTTATACAGGATAAGCCTGCCATACGTCCCGTATTATACGGGACAGTCCCTTATTTCAAGATCCATGTCCCGCGTCCCCAAATTTGTTGTCGGGACGCGTAAATGTCCCGTATTCTCATTACAAAAAGAGTGAAATAATTCGCCCGTCTCATTACCAGTCTCTGTGGTGGCATAAATAAATCGATTTTTGCGCCTAATCTCTAGTCTTAGCAAATCGCAACGTGGTGGTTATTCGTCAGTATTTGATATTTGACAGTTTAGAATTTGGCGAGTTTGGCCCAAGGACCATACACACCACTAAGGATTGCTTATCGGCCTCGTTTTGGGTAATCCCCACCATATTGGTATATCACCATTGCCGACGTCATCAACTAAGTCGTCAGTGACGTTAGCTGTTTGCGCCAGCAGTCGTAGTTTAGAATTTAAATTTATGATGAAAAATGTTATTTTATTTTGATCAAGCATAATAGGCAAATAGAAAGATGGAATCATAACCTGTGGTGCAAACAGCCTACGTCAAGGCGAGAAACGACATGCTACCTACGTCACAAATGGTGATTTAGTGGGGTAGGGGGGCTTCGGATTTGTTGTACGCAGGCCTTATGAGGATAGGCTATGCTGTAGTAGTAGTGTATATTATTCGTGGGTTCGTCCTACGGGTGTGGTTCCGAAAAAAAAATTCGTCTGTGGCGCTATTTTTTCTATAAATACATGACACATTGGCTTCATAAAAACGTCCCGTTTTTTTATCTGAATAATATGGTAGCCTTAATACAGGACCAGTAAAAAAATGCTCTTTCTCAACATCGAAATTCCCCACTATTTTTAATGGAACACCCTGTATATCACAACGTCAAAAAAAAGAGTTCAAGGTATCCATGTATACCAATAAACATCGTCCTTGAAACCTAAAGTTTCACCCGTAAAAAATTAAAATCGCTATTTTGCAAACGCATGCAACTACATGTTAGAGGGTATCTTCCTATCTTCGATGAGATCTATTTTCAGCAGGATGGTGTCCTACCTAATTATTCTTTATTATCAAGAGAATCAGTAGATATGACATTTGGGGAAAGATGGATAGGAAGATCTGGTTCTATAGAATGGATATCTTACTCTCCTGACTTGACGCTTCCAGAATTTTTTCTCTGGGGTTATGTCAAAGAGAGATGCTTTTATCCAATCCTTTGCCAAATAGCCTGGAAGATCTTAAGGCTGAGTAATCGTAATATTATTGAAGCGATTTCTCAGGAAATGTTACACAATTCCGTCAACTAGTTACTGATCCGACTCCCTAAATGCGTGGAGCAGAATGACCAACATATGCAGCAATTTTTTATAGTTTCATGCAGTTTTTATTACCTTTCTATTGAACAAACATAATTTCGAAGCTTTTAAATACGCTAGTGAAAAATGCGTTTCCAAAAATACCAGCTGCCGGATTCCATTTTACGAGTCGAGTCGAAATTCGTAGCGAATTGTCAAAATAGCGATTCTATTTTTCGATCTTTCGATACGTATTACACGGTACATCCGGAGCTGTCGTATTCGGTACCGAAGCAATTCGACTCGACTCGTAAAATAGAATCCGGGGGCAGGATTTTGAGTTTAATTTTTCAAACGTTAAGTTTCAAGGACGATGTTTATTGGTACATGGATACCTTGAACATGAGTTTTTTTTTTGACGTTGTCACATACAGGGTGCTCCATTGAAAATAGTGGAGACTTTCGATGTTGAAAAACGGCATTTTTTTTACTTTGATAATATACCTGAAAATGAGCATCGGAACTTAATTTGACAGCAAGATGACGCAATTTTTTTATGCTGCTTCTGTGAAAGCCTGTGATTCCGCTATAATAGAGCAACCAGAATTTATACTTTGATGAAAACTGCAGGCTCCCACAACACAACTTTAGAGAGTGGATTGAATAAAATTGGACCATATCTTGGCCAGCGAGAAGTTCAGCTTTGACCCCGATTTGTTTTTTTTGTGGGACACATTATCAAAGCCACGTGCGCCGTTCCAATTTTTAACAATGATTTGTTACATTCTACTATAAATTATACGTAGTACCAAATTTCCATTTTCTGTAAGTTGAGGAAATTATGAACAATCTAGCAGCATTGCCGGGACGACCCCCCAAATACTCAACCTCTAGGGCTTAAAATAATAAAGATAATCCCTGAACCTGTATCTCGATCATTTTTATTGTGCGGTCCAAGGCGAGTAGGGAACGTCCGCGAGGAATTAGAGGAGAAATAAAGAAAACTGGAGAAAAGAATAAAGGCGAAATTCTCGATAAAATCACCAACTTTCGACTGCGAAACATCCTGGACCATGTATAAACGTCATTTTGAGGGCACTTCTAATGCAAATGGATGAGACGAACCACAAACCGCATGTGGCTAAATTCAGCTGGTGTAGGCACTGTGGTGGAATGGTAGAGAAAGCAGTGTTGTTAAATCAAACAAGGTTTGGCAAGCTGTGGTTTGGCATTGGCAATTGTGAATCGTAATCACCACATCTGTGGCGGTGCAACATTTTGGTGGATTTAGCTACACGCGGATAAAGCTTGGTACTGGCATTACGGAGAAAGAGCGTTCAAAATTTTCAGAATGTTGCTTAGGAAAAAACAAGTGATTAAGCAGCTATTGTAGGCGCCTTAGAGCTGAGGTACAGAAGTGTCTTAATCAAGTTTATCAGAGCCAGCTGAAGAGTAGAGTGCAAAGCCTCTCGGAGACTCTGCTCTGCTGGTATTTACCATTTACCTACCGGTGATATCGAGAGGATAGTTTAGTTGTCATGTCCACAAGCTCCAGAAGATATTAATGAAATAGGAGATAGAGACCTGCAAACGCTAAGACTAAGTAGGCATAACCCTAGCTATTATCTATGCACTGGAGTATGAAGCTGCAAAAAATGCCTTTACGAAGAAGTAAAATCAGGGAAATGAAGATATCAGAGGAAAGCCGAACTCAGACCTAAATACTTTTAAAAACTTTCAGATATACTGCACGAAGGGGGACAACAACCAGAAAATCAATAAAGAGCTACAATTGCGACAGTGAAGGATATTCTGGTGATAACTGTAGGCGAGGCTCCTATTCAAAAGAACGGGATGCGGGAAAATACTGCGAGAAGGAATACCGCGATTCGAGATGCAGATAATCCATACTGTTAATATCCGATGTTCACTAGAATTTGCGAGAATGGCGTTTACTGTTAATGGAATATTCTAGCGAATTACAGAAGGATCGGAGTGCTATGAAAAAAAGCATCAGGAGTCGGCTGGGCCAGTTAGCTCAGTTGTGAATCAGACAGATAGTGGACTAGTCAGTTGTGAATCGGACAGTAAGTGGAACGAGTCGTTATTCGGAGAGTTATATGAACAGTTATAGTGAAATAGTTTTGAGTGTTCAATATGAGTGATTTGAAGGGTTGTAATAGTGCTAGTTTTGTTGTGATTTATGGTTCTAAAGCTTCCAAACCTCCCCCTTCCCCCAAAGGCCTCTAGGTCTTTGGTGGGTAGCGCGTTCTTTTCTCCATCCCCCCACTTCACTAGCGCTATAATTTCAGATGTAACTATCTTGAACTACCGTGGTCATCTAGTTTGAACAACTAGTCAATATACAGCAATAAATACTGAAAGTTGATCTTCATCTAATTATACCTGCACCTGAAATATCTAAATTCTTGGAACAAAATGAGACAAAAGTATCAATTATTTTTCCTAATTTTATTTATTGACTTTTTACAATAAACTAATTTTATATAATACTGACTGATAGTGGTAAGTATTGCCTACAAGAGTGATTCTATTCAATTTTACTACCGCCATTTTACCTTTAAGCAATTTTTGGTAAATCCTAAATTTGTGAAACTTTTCGTAAATCTATACAATTTTATTAAATCGATTTCTGAAAACAGAGCAAGAATTTTAAAAAAAGTACATCCACTAAAATAATTTTGTCAGCTCGAAAATTATTTGTATAGTCTTTACTTATAAATATCTTTACAGAATACAAAAAAAAAGATCTGGTCCTAAGCGTATAATATAATTATTATTATATCCAGAAGAAAATGTCACAGCATATATTTTTTCTTTTTTGTTTCAGTACCTACAGACAGAGGAGAATGAAAACAAATGTTAAATACAGTAAAATTTGACAAATAATTTGTAATTTTCTATGAGATTCTCAGGTGCCAAACGCAATTTATTTTTACAAATAATGTGAAATATTAATTTAAAAAATAATACTTGCAAAAATATAACATAAAATAGAAATATAAATGAAGGTATTTAGAAAATTAATCTGGGCCATAAATACATAAATAAGAAATAATTTATTGTCTAATAACGCTTTCAACTTTAACCCCTAAAATATGCTTATCTTGACTTATTTTCTTGTCGCATAAAATAAGTAAGATATTTCATTGTTTAATTGTCATTCAATTCATAGAAAACTAATAAATTGGCCTTTAATAATAATTAATTGATAGTAAATGTCAGACCACATAGAAATTTTGAGTTTTTATATCAAAATGATGTTTATTTTATATTATATTTTCAAATTTAATCCGCGTTAATTGACTGAATCGTTTCAAATAAAAATAACCTTTGAAATAATAGCTTATTATTATTAGTATTATTTTCCAAAGTTTTAGGGTTTTGTGGAAAGCTTCTAATACATGGTGAGGTATATTTACTTAAAAAATACCTATTTACAAAATACATACAATAAATAAGGGAAATAAATTAAACGATGGATAATGAAACAAAATGAGTGCGGATAAAATAGTCAGTCAGAATTTGATTGGACATTGTCAATTTCGGCTGAATTTTTGGAAATATCGGGTAATCCTGTAGATTCTTCCCAATCCATATGAGTTGAGGTTTCCAGTGGATAATCTTCGTCATTGAAAATGTCATCAGGGGACGTTGTAGTAGGAGCTACTGTTGTTGTATTCTCTTGGGCTAAATCCACCTATTTCGTATTGTTTTGGTCAGTGTTTTAATTAAGTTAATTGATTTAAGAAAATACAAACGATTTAGTTTGGTAGCTATTCTACTGGAAGGTGGCTGAAAGTACGAGTTTTTTTTATATTTATCAAACAATTTAATTACCAAAAAATCGTACTTTCAGCTTCGAAGAGTTGAGAAGTACCTACCCAATACGATCAAACTACAAAACCAACGATCTACGAGTATAAAAACCTCCATGCATTTATGATAAGATTGATAAGCTAGAGAAACGTGATGGAATATTCCATGTATAGATGTATAATTATACATTATACAAGAACTTATAAAATAATCTTTGGCATATATTGCTTTTATTTCTTTGATAGTCATTATTCGGTTCAATATTAGGAATTAAATGAAATTTCTCTAGAATATCTTTAATAGGCGCTAACTTTTCACTTGTTTTTGTAGAACTTTGTCAAATAGTGCTTTAGAAGGTCCAGGGCGAAAAACCACTCATATGAGCAATAATAAACTATTACTAATTTAAAAATGGAAAATGCATGCATGAAAGAATCCAGTGAAAAGTTCACGCCAAATAATTTAAGGCTGATTCTCACCCATGAGTAAATGTATCGCAAATCAACAGATTTCTACATCACAACTGAAAACAGTTTAGCTGTTTGATCAGCGACTTGAGCTTGATTCGGAGAATGTGAGCGCGGGTTATCATTTCTCGCCGAGGTAATCATCTTGGCTATACGTGCAGATTTCAGTTTTATTTTTTTAATGCAAAAATATTTTAAAATTATTATACTAGTAATGCTAATATTCATTATTGTATTTATTACAATTGGAGGGGGCATTTCATATTCGGGTTGAAACTGATTAATGACGCCGGGCAAGAAAGGTTTTACAAAAAAATATTAATAGGGAAAATAGGAGAATGTGAGCCCGAAACATATTTTCTTTTTGGAAAGGAAGAGAGATGCAACATGCAGCTGAGAAATATTTTGAGATATCAATATTATATGTGAATGTCTCAACAGCATTCTCACCATCTGCTGAGCAAAATATAACATTACTTCACCAAATCACCAAGAAGCTTGATAAAGGAAGAATAGTTTAAATTTTTTCTATGGAGCGTTATTCAAAATTTGGGGTCATGAAAATTATATCTACGTTAACGAAGAAAGAGAATGTTTAAATGAAGGCGGAAACTTGCGAAAAAGTTAGGAAAAGTTCAACTTTCTCGCAAGTCGCAGAGTAACATTTTCCCGTGGGACACTTTTAAAATATTCCGAAATAATCTGAATATGGAGCGCTCAAAAATGTTTGAATACATTAAAACTATTCGTAAATAGTTTAACTTCTGTGAGTTGTCAAAAATTTAAAACTTTACCTCGGCAAGACGCGATTTCTCTCTGAATGAAAACTAAGCTATTGCTGAGATAGAGATAGTAAAAGCTCTTCGAGAATCGACCTTTAGCATTTTGCCGGTAAACCAGTAAAGGCTTACCAAATTAAATTATCAAAATTATTGTTTAGGTTAATTTCAAGTTTGTTAATACAAAATAATGAATAATCTGCGAGTCAATCTTTAATTATTTTTCTTATCACATTGCATTTTTTGGAAGAAAATATATAATTTTTAGCAGTTCATAGGCAACGAAAATAGACAGAAATGTATGTGAATATATGCTCTAATATATTGGTTTCTTTTTCCAAACTCTAATGGCAAATATATTCACGATAGAAATGGATTTTTAGTAACGATCCTATGGCAATGTCTAGTTAGCTCTTTTTTAAATTAGGCTATGTGAAGGGGTGTAGAGAGTTGTGCTGGGAAGGTAGTACCAAAGCCTGTAGTACCTTTTATCAAGGACGATCGCATTTAGCGACAGAACCAGAGAGTGCTCGGCCGATAACTGGTCCTCGAGTTAGATTGATATTTATTAAAGGTAGCTTGGTCACAGGACACCCAATTCTCACTTATGGCTCCACGTGTCACATCCTGGCAACTGCATCAACCTGAAGGGTAAACTAGAAATACTTAGCCAGTTTTGGCGAATTTGGACAACATCTTTCCCAGAGTGGGCGGCTGTTAACAGCATCTCTATCCAATATTGATGGCTGAAACAAATCTCGCCCACCCGCCTAACAAGCGCGGCTTGAAATTGTTATAAAACTTCCAAAGCCATGTTGATCCTCTACAAGATTACCAAAATTTACAGAACTACTACTATTCTAGAGTAGTTCTGTAAACTTTGACATTACTACCAAAGTTAAGTAGAGCGACCTGCTCACAATCTTGCACTAACATATCAGTCTGCCTCATGGATTCTGGGAAGACAAAAATTCGATAAAGGAATTTATACAATGGCCAAAATCTGTAGCTGTGGAAAACGTGTGCTACTTATAATATACAAAGGCTAAAGCTTCAAGAACACAAGGAAAGACTTGATCAAGAAATACAGCCCATAATTTGGGCCATCTTAGGTTTGTGAGAAACAGGGCTAAATGGAGAACTAACGACTGCTCTCAAATCAAAAAGCTCTATGACAAAATACCAAGTGGGAGAAGTGTATCTGATGGTCAATGAACTTCTCAGGAATCGCCTCAACCAAATACACCCTACCCTATCTCAGCTCGAGTTATATCTTGAAAATTAACAACATACAGCCTACAGATAATTCAGGTGTATGCCCTTACCCGCGCCTCTAATATTGAAGAAGAAGAACGAGCATATAACTAACTACTCCAAAGATCAATGAAATAGCCAATTTCGTTATATTCATAATGCTGAAATCGGTTGAAACTCGGACAAGGATGTACCAAAAGTGGATAAATTTAGGAAGTTTGAATGCAGCTTTCACGGATATTGTTCCGAGACAGTTTCTATGGGCAAGTAACTCCTTATGGATAATCCTTGATTGAGATCTTCCATGACTTTTCTTTTTTACTTCTTCTGCGTATCGATCTCATGTGTATGACATGTCTTTCTCGACAATCAAATACTCGCTTTCTTTGTGTATAATTTAGCTTCACAGATTCAATGTGAACAGCGCCATGAAGTTTCACCACATGTTAATGCACAATTTTGAAAAAAAAAATCTGCACGGTTTGTCCACTCTAGGTAGTTCATGAGCTAAATAATCATAAATTGATGCAAATATTGCAACAAGCCGCAAAAAGTAGGGCGAAATGATCATGAGTGAAAAGTCTTGATTAAACTCTAATTATTATTCAGGTATCATGCCCGATTATAGGTCTGTTCTCACAGAAATCACAAACCAGTGAGAGCGAATTTCATTGGTTGAAAATAGTCAGAAAACTGTTTGTTGACGATTTACACCAATCATAAACGCTCTGACTGGTTAGTGATTTCTGTGAGAACAGACCTTAGCGGTCAGCAGTTTGCGGCCAGGCTAGTTCAATGGTGTTATCAAGTACTTCTACCTGCCATCAGGCGAGTTCAATGCCGCCCAACATGATGAGAGATTCCAGTTATACAGGCCTTATCAAACAAATTCACGATACAGCATCTAACGAAGTGAAAATGAAGGAGGATGTGAAAACTGAAGAAGTCCCAATCAAAGGAGTAAGACAAGGGAACACAAATTACACTAATCCTGAAGGATTTTCACAAAGTTGGATCAAAAATTTTCAAATTCTAATTTAACTTGCTGCCTATGAAATGATAAAATTGTATGTGTATGCATATACAGGGTGACAATTAGAAAAGTAGCAATCGGGAATATCTCTTAGAGAAAAAATACTATCGGGAAGATCTCAAATATGTATCGGGGGATTGGGGGCGGAATCAAAATGAGGCACTTTTTGAGTCACCCCGCCTCACCCCCTACGAACCTACCTTTTGGTGCACATCCTTGGATAGCTCGTTGCTATTCCTTCACAGTCCTATAGCAAAATCTTAAATTGGACGATTTGTGTTATCGGTGTTTAAAAAAAGCATATTTTGAAAACTAGTAGGTATATAATTTTGACTAGCTCTTAGACAAAAGAATTCTGTCATGAAAGTCTCGAATACGTATCGGCGAAACCAAGTAATGTGTTTATCATAATTGTATCTGTTTCTGCACGCCTCTAAAGAAGAATAAAAAATCTTTCAAAGGAAGTATCTCACGGGGTAGGTTCTCATTCTAGACAAATTATTAGGGGCGGCTCGCACCCGAAACAAGAGGGGTGGGGGTTAGTCAATAAACATATTTGGTTTCCCCGATGTGTGAGACTTTTATGACAGAATTCTTTTGTCTAGGAGACAGTCAAAATTACTAGTTTTCAAAATGTGATATATTCTCGATTGCTACTTTTCAAATTGTCACCCTGTATATGACACAAACTAACTATTAAATGGTATCGAAAAAGAAATGACTCAAAATGACTAGTATTATTTTCTAAATTCTACACACCCACAAAGTAATTTTGTTCTTTTTTTTTTAACATCCAGCCAATATTTGAATATTGGCTGGATTTGTTAGTGATTTTAATTTAATGTGCAAATTATCAAAAGGACCCCGCACACTTCTTATGGGATTTTGGTTGAAGGCGGAATTCAACCAAATTTTGGTATGTTGTATATTTCGACCTGCTGAGTAAAAGTTCTCATGGGTACAAACCATAGGATCGGTTTCGGATATACAGAGGGTTTTTAGGGGGACTAGTTTCGGATATACAGAGGGTTTTCTAATACTACCTTAGGCAACCTATACTTTATTTTTTTCCAAGCTAGATTTTGGCATTGTCAATTTTGAAACATAAACAATGCCACTAATGCCGCTTATTGGTCGCTATTGTAAAACTGATGTCAACCTGCAGAAACACCTCATTTTGCGACCAATTAGGGTCAAGCGTTATTGTTTATGTTTCAAAGTTTTCAATGTCAAAATCTATCTTGGGAAAAAATAAAGTATAAGTACCTATATAAAGTGTATATAAAGCAAAAAAGCTTGCATGTATTGCTTTAAAAGTTGTTTATTTCATCTTTCCTCAACTAAAAATGTTTAGTAGGTGTTCCTAACTCTTCCTTTATATACCAGGGGCGCTCAAAAACTATGGCTATTACTAAGCTAAATGAGTTAATGACCAAAAATTTTCAAAAGAGTGAAAAATTGTGTACTTGTAGGTACTCAGGTACCTACTTTTTGTGATAAAAGTGACTTTCTATCTCAATGAATTCCAGTTCTCGCTACGTTTGTGCTAAAAACTTTTTGCCTCATGATCCCTTGGCCTAGGGTGTAAGTGTTTAGTTATTAGGTATACATACACTTGGTGATTTGTTTGAAAAATCTATAAACAGCCATGGAAAGAAAAGCAATGAAAATTGTTTCTTTCATATTATGTCCTATTTCACTTGGTAACCATCGAATCCAAAACAGTGGCCCTGTCAATAAAGCGAATTGTCTTTTTTGTCACCTTTCTTGTGAAAATGGCAATTCGGGAAAGGTAATGTGTAAGTAAGTAAGAGTAAATCGCACTGTTTTATTACTGAAAGATGCGGAAGTCCGTAGATTGGCTGTAAAGCGTTGAAACGAGTTAGGATTTGAGGATGAAAATCTTATTGTTGAGAGCTCAAGGTGGATTTTGACATTAAAAACTTTGAAACATAAACAATAACGCTTGGCCCTGATTGGTCGGAAAATGAGGTGTCCCTGCAGGTTGTAATCAGTTTTACAATGCATGAGGTGCAAATGGCATCTTGCCAGTGTCAAGTCAAAATCTATCTTGGGAAAAAATACAGTATATAGTTTGTCATACTTCTATTTGTGTTTGTTTTAAAAACACACAAAGGCCTACCAAACAAGTACTTTTCAAAATACCCTTGTACATTCACATATATAGGCACCTAACTAAAAACATGCACCTTTCTGTAAAAGGTCTAAACTTAATCAACATTTTTTAAAGCTACCTACCACAAATAAACGCAAAAAGCATGAAAATTCAGTATTTTCAGGTTGCCTGAGATAGTATCACAAAAGCCCCCATATATCCGAAACTAGTCATAGGATCGGTTTGTACCTATGAGAACTTTTACTCAGGAGGTCGAAATATACAACATACCAAAATTTGGTTAAATTCCGCGTTCAACCAAAATCCCATAAGAAGTGTGCGGGGTCCTTTTTTGAGCTAGAAAATAAAATTTAATTAATTAGTCTAGATGTATATTTATGCTAATTTAACCCTAATAGTCTTTAAAACCCGTATGCATGTTGGTTCTGTTTTATCTCATAATTACTTTGCTATAACAAAAACAGCTCAAATTTCAAACAATATTTCTTCGTGAGTGTTTAAAATTGTTAATACACATTTCCATATCAGTGTCTACAAAATATATCATTAATAGCAAAACAAAACTACAAAAAGGGACATTCCAATCAACTCCATTCCAAAAAAAAACCTATCTATTGACAACCTGGTCCAGTCTTTTCCTCTGCTTATTGTTAATCTTCTTTTTCTTTTTATTATTTTTATTTTTCTTAGCGGCTACTAACGGTTTTGCACTATCAACGTTCGTTTCTGGCTTAACCGAGATAAAGTCTCTTTGGCACTCTAGACGCTCACGAGGCACATCCGCATTATCGGTGCTGGTAGCGTTCGAATTAACGTTGCTATGGATTTCACCGGTAGCGTTATCGCACTTTACCCGACCGACTGGATTCGCACTTGTGCTGTGTTTTTTTGGTTCGAGTTCGGATTCGTTTTCACTATTTTTTCGTTTTTTCTTCTTTTTCTTTTTTTTCTTACGACACCGCGGAGGATCCGTTGGCTGTGGAGGATGTGCCGCAACCGGCGGACACTGATGGTGGTGGCGCAGCTGATGCTGCTCCAACGTTACACTGCGCGTAAGAACACGTGTATAGGAAGAAAGTTTGCCCAATTGTTGACGAGCTTTAATCATCACTTTCCGCGGTTGACCGCGTCTATTAAGCGCTAAATAAAAAGTCCGTCGCTCGTTGGAGTATTTACTTGACGAGTACTTATTGTAATTTGTCGCTTCAATCGTCTCGTTGAAGATGCATTCCTCTCCAAACTCAATCTGAAATTAAAAGAGTAATAATATAGTAAATTTTATCGCAATATTAATTTAAATAATTAATAAAAATAGATGTTTTGCGATATTACCGAATAATTTCTTAATAAACAACTTTTCCGTCTGTACGTACTGTCACTATGTCATGTGTCTGTATCATGCAAAATGCAAAAAACCAATAGAGGTGGGCTCTCATGGATAAATATTAGCCACTATCTTTGTCAACAAAGTCGAGCACCTTGAGTTAATAGGGAACTTGCACATTAAATTAAAAATGGAATAAATAATAAAACACAATAACAAACATCCTAATAATTGATGCAGTTAGGAAAAGAGTAATATCTTATCTCTGGTGTCCAAAATCTTCAATTGACAATACCAAATAATTTGGAATTCATGACGCGATCGAAAACTTGTTTCTATGGGTCGTGACGTCACAAGGCAGAAATAATCGGTTCGCGCCGCCGCCACGCCATATGCTGCTGGTATCGCCATTGTCAAATCTATCGTAAATGGCATACATAACAACATATCCAAAATCTAAATCTACCTGCTCGAAGTTCGAAGTATGCTCGTCACTGTCAACGGAATTTTGTTGCCGAGTGACGTCACACTAATTGGTCGTTTTAAATGGTGATGTTCCGAGCGTAACTTTAAATATTTATAAAAAACTAGCTAATGACCCGCTGCGTTGCCAGCGTGAAAATACATTTTGAAATAATAGATTTTTTTTTCAAATTTTATTGTTGATTTTCTATTTAAATATTTTTAATTTTTTATCCGATACCAGAGTCGCTTGCCAGTGAGTTCAGTGACGCATTTTAAGCACTCCAGAGCTGCTCTAGTGCGCCCCGGGCTGTTTATAGGCGTTCCAGTGTATCAGAGTTTCGCGCAACCGAACTTTTTTTTTTCGGGATAAAAAATAGTCACTCTCCTCTATAGCCGAATTCGATCGACCGGATTAGATCGATCTGGTTCAATTTAAGTGAACCACACTGGGTTCGATTGAGGCTAGATCAGTGCACCCTCATCAACAAAAAAATGATCTAGATCAGAAGAAGTTCACTTAAATTGAACCCAAATCGATCTGATCTGGGTCAATCGAATTCAGCCTATATAGAGATACATGGTATTAAATTCAAGATCGGTCCAGCCGTTCTCGAATTCAAAAAATAATAAAGTTACGTCGGTTGAATGGCAAGCCTAAATAAACGAAATATGGCAACGTTGTTTCATGCTGTCAAAAAAAAGTTGGGTTATGTTGGTATGTAATGTGAATGAGTTTGTTTACAATTAAATTAATAATTAATTCAAAATTAATTTCTTTTTCCGAGATGCGTAACCTATCTACAAACCTTCCTTGGGATGACCATAACAACCTACCAAATAAGTTTCATCGTAATCGGATAAGTGGTGTAGGAGCGCAAACATTGTTTTTTTATATACATAGATTAACGGCTGATTTTTAATGCTCGATATTTGGTATGACTAAGTCTTTAGTGTAGTAGAACACATTTTTGAAATAAGAAAAAAAATGTGCAAGTCTCCTATTTTAGCGTTGCCCAATGCTTTGAGAACCGCCATAATCCAATAGAGTCGAACGATTTCTGATAATCAATTAGTGCTTTATGTGGGGACACGTTATATTTCGTAGTTTATCTCAATAAGAGTGCGCACTGTCTGAAGATGACCTATTGTCCTGAAACCCTGGCGCAATTCGGGCTGCTCCCGGGGTTGGTATGCGGCATATGGGATGTCGCTGTTATCGCATAGTGATCAATTTTCGCACTAAAGTCTCGCACAACTACTACAAACTGAGCCCTTTCCCTCATTTTTACTGATGTTATAATGAAATTAGAGAATATTACCTTATTCATGTACATACTCAATATGTATTTCCATATTATTTATAGTATTATTTCAAATATTGCACATTATTTTGTCTCCATTGTGATATAGGTTTGGCATACTTATCTATCTACATCAAACGAGAACTCACACCTGAGTTCAGATAATCGTAAATCGTAGTTTATCATACGATTCGTTCTAGTTGAATCACTATCCTTTTTTTATTTAAAGACAGTTACAAGTGACTTGCACCAGGTTTTCGATCGATACTATCTTCAATTTCTTGTGTTCCCATATAACACAGATCCCATAAGGTTGGCCTATTTATTTGTTGCAAGGGTGACTTTTAAAAAAAGTCCAGACTGGAAACGCGATATTCTCAGATGTTCTTATATCTCGTTACACGGGGCAATCGGGATGTAAATTTTTATTGTCCGGCTTTTTCTTTGGAATTTATGGTGAAATTATTATTTTAGTGTCTGTGAGGATTTGATAAGATAGATAGAGTAGGTACATGCTCTTGAATTTTTTATTCTCCACCCTGTATAAGATAATTAATTTTGTTCGAGTTAATTCGAAAGAAGTTAATCGTAGTGGAAATTATTTGCCAATAAATAATTACCCCTTAAACAACTTTCTGGCCAGATGAACTCAATACCATAATAATCTTTAAAGCTTGTTTTGAGTTATAAGAAAGGTATCTTTTATCGATGTAATCTACTTAAGATAAACCGACCTACACAGTCGCGTCTACCAAAAACCATTATGTAGATTCATTTTGATTTGGGGATGTGTGATAGGTTTTTCATTATTATATTGTAATTTTTTTTAAATTTGACAATCGATTGAAATACTTGTCTACTTTCATTTACAATAAAAGACATTTAGAAATAATGTTAATGTGTTTTGCAAGATTAATTAGTCCTTTGCCTCTATAAAAAATTGCAGAAAGAAACGTTTAATAAAATCGTAGTATTCTATCTACCTGTTGTGCACACTAGAAGTTCTAGGACCCAAATAATACCAAGGCCTCATTGCAAGGGCGGTTTAAAGGGGGGGTAGAGGGGGTAATTACCCCCCCCCCAGACAAAGTTTTTTTTAATACATTTATTGATTACAATCAAATTTCAACAAAAGACAAATTGTACAAAGTAAAGTATTGAAGACCTTGTATAAATATGATAGGCTCACCAGTACCGACGTACCTACTATACAGTGAAATAAAGGGTACCTATTCCATTTGGAAAAATATGAGCTATTTTTGTTTGAAATGTCTGCTTTATGTACAGTATTGTGATAACACCCTGTAGAATGTTATCAAATTTTTATAGGACCATGAACTAAATGTAAGTATGCACCAACAACCTGCGAAAGATTTAGCCTATATAGGATCTCAAGTGAATAAAATAATAAGTTGGTTTTTGTTGACTCATGCAAACTGCGATTTTTTGAAAAAAAATTCAAAGTATTTCAAAAACGGTTGAGTTTTAGTATAGGTAATTCCTAAAAAAAAGTATGTAGGATTTTTAGAAAGATCCATCAATGTACTAAAATAAAGGTAGTTCCATTTAAAATAACAATGTTCTGTCGTATACCCCATTTACGGAGCACCCTGTATATTCGAAAATAATTTCAACTGATGCACCTTAGAGTATCAAACAACTTTGCATTTTTTTTTCATCACCCTGTAAGGAGATATCGTCCGATATCCGGATATCCTACTAAGTGAACACCCTGTATAACTATTTTGATAGCATCGAGATACATTTTTGCCGAAGAGGTGTTTTCTAAATGACTTTCAAGTGCAAATTTGGGCGTGGCACCCCGTTACGTTGTGCAACTTGATGATTTTTCCGTCATCCATTACCCCCCCCCCCCCCCAGAAAATCATGTATGGACCGCCACTGCCTCATTGAAATGTCTATTTTGATAAATAATTTTTTCGTTTTTTAACAAACATTCGGAAACAAAAAATTTTCAAATAAAGACAGTTATGTTGTTAAAGACAGTTATGTTGTCCAATACAATTTAGGTTCCTTGTTACTTGAGTAGGTATGATTTTAAGCAATTCTTCTCTGAAGCACAAACGAAGTATTTCAGAACGAGCTAACAAAATATTGTTTTTGTATGTCCTTTTGAACATTTCTAAATTATTATAAATTATTAATCAATAAAATGAACAGACGCCGAAAAATTATTTTATCTTCACTTCCAAAACGGTTATAAGAAACTTGAAAGAATACGATTTTATAGAAGGCGATAATTACATACCTACTTAATAAGGAGATGTTTGGCTCAAATTTGACAAAGCTTGAGAATCTAAAAGCGGAAAAATACTGTTAGATTTTGTACAAGTGAAAGCAAATCTGGATTGCTTCATTTAAAATCTGTATTTTCCTAAAACAAATTCTAGGCAATTAACAGATCCCCGCCTCTGATAAAAATTATGTTAATCGATATCGAAAAAGGGCCCCAAAACATTATAGACCAATCTTATTGTTTTCGATCGGATAAGTGAACATATTTACGATGTCCGTAGTTCATTAACCAAAGCCGAAATACGTAAATAAATGGAATTACACATACTTATACAAACAATATTTTTCATTAAGTGCCGCATAACATATGTAGCCGTTGTCAAAACCAATAAAAAACCTTCCCGGGTGAGGGCAGACAATGTGTAATAAAATCTTATGCAGACAACACCGACATCTGAGTCTCCAAAATGCCTATACCTTATAAGGAATGTCTATTGATAAATAGCTACAACTTCTTTTAACCTAGGAGTTACTCCTCCTCGGACATTTAAATTGCTGGACTACCTTAAATTTTGAAAAGAATAAGGATAATTTATTAGATTATTAGATTATGTAGTAGAGGATTACTGTCAACGAGAATATTACACGTTTTTTACACAATACCACGGAATATTTGGAATTTTAGTCTAAGTTTATGGAATCATGTGGTGCGGCGGCTTTTTTGAAGTAATTGAAAAGTGATAATAAAAAAATGCATTGCAGCGTCATGCAGTGGTGTTATTATTAGAAGAAGAAGAATATGAGATATTCGCTTTTATAACAACTGTAAATTTTAATGTGTAGTGAAGGACTATATTAAACCACATTGACTTGTCACTCTCAAAATTCGTAGGTAGGTAAGTATATTTTTTTACAGGGGGTTGAAAAATGGCGGACTTGACAGGTTTCAAAATTGATAAGAAATTTGAATAAAAGTGATAATTGGAATTAAAAATTACATAGGTAACTAGTTTTATAAAAAAAAGTCTTGAAATTTATAACAGTAAAGGTTCAGTAAAAAAATTCGTTCACATGACAATATTTTATATAGGGTGTCCCTAAAATCAGCGAGTTAGAGAACAGATTTTTCTCAATCGGAACTTCCAAAAATTTTTTGCTCTTTTGGATTCTCCTTATAAAATTTTTATTGTTTAGACCATCTTTTGAAACCCTGCAAATTCGTCCATGTTTATTTTGGAGCAATCTCTAAGATAACACTGGTGATTATCCAATAATTTCGTCTGATATATGCAAGTTCGCGGCGCCACCCTTTGGAGGTTTCTGGGAGGATGGAGTGAAATCCATGAAGCACCATTTGAAGCGTATTGTAGCAGAAGCTACACTTACATAATAAAGAGCTATCAACATTAACATGCCAGATCGAAGCATATTCAAACTCCAGGCCATGGCCGCTATCACACGAATTGGATGATCACCTGGCCATTTCCTTGTAGGAAGAGAACTAGTATCATCGTCAGGCTCAGTAACAACAGACATGACTACCAAGTTATCACAGCGATGGAGGTTGATACAAAAAATGAAGAAAGATTTCTGGAAGATTAGTGTACAGAGTACCTGAGCAAAATTCAGCAACGATAGGTACAATTGAACAGTTCAGATAGACAACCTGAAAAGGGAAACTTTGGTTATCATAAAAGACAAAATCGTAAATCCTAGCCGCGGTTCATTGAATGTACACCTTGGTCAAGATGGTGCGGTCCGTATAGCCACAATTAGAAAGGCAGATGGAGTATTGTTAAGACGTCCCATTCATGTATTAATTCCACTACCAGTAGGAAGTGAAACTGAAGAAGCAACTAGGAGACTCGCGTCCAGTCAAGTATCTAGTCACATGGTGACTACAACTACGATACGGCCAACCTCAACCCGTATAAGCAGAAAGTAGGTACGTCAGAAGCGTACGAATAAGCATCGTTTATGCAATGATGATACTTCTCGTAAGTGTTGCCCAACAAGTATACAGGAAAGGTTTACGCGGAAATATCCACCACCAGGGTTTCACATTGAGTATCTCGGATCTGCCAGAATTAATAGAAAAACATTCAGAATTGAAATTGATTACGAAAAATCAAAAATCGAAAACAATGCAGTCGAAGCTATCAACATCACCAACCAGTTTGACGACCTGTGCAACAAAACAAATGTGTTACCAAATGAAACACATTGCATATCACTAACAAACCACCTCCAAGAAGAATTGTAATGTGAAATATGTTTTTCCAATAGTTTGCAGGAACCAGGAACGGAAATTAAACATTATTTTTCGAGCCTGGGCCCGAACTCAGATAACGGTTTGTGTAGGATTCTTTCTTGGAAGGTAGCTTTGACGTCAAACTGCAAGAAAATATATGTGCTGTCAAATATTTTAGCATACAAGATTCATTTGATCCTATAAATATAGCAACATATGGAAAACACTAGGTATTACAAAAAAAAATTTTTTTGTTGCCCTTTACTAATATGTGAGGATTTATTAGTTTGTAAGGAATTTGAATGACGTGGGAAATAAAACAAGAAAAAAAAAAACAAACAAGTAAGTATTAAAACTTCAAAATGCTTAACTCCCAATATTTTCCAAAAAACAAAGATAAAAAGAGTTTTTAACTTTTAGCACATCATCAAAACGAGAGCACTTTTTAATGCTATATGGGATCGTACTATGTATCATTTGATAGGGTAATTCGAAAAACTAAATTTAATAGGTATGGGATTATTTTGCGAAAAGTGAAAAATGGGTACTCTGATTATCATAGAATTTTTCTACAATATTAGGCTTTTACCTAACCAACATAAGTTTAAATGACAGAGTAGCTACGTATGCGGACTTTAATGATGAAACTGTGGGTTGTATTGATTTGCGCTAATTAGTAAAATATTTGGCGAGCTAAATAGTGGATTAGTTTGAGCTAATTGGGGAAAATTAGCGACCTAATTAGTGAATTTCCGTTGAACAAAAATAGGTAACTCTACTCCTGATTCTGACATTGAAAGACAAGCCCAGTCCAGAGAGTGATTTTTCTAGAATATTCCCTCGTGTTCTATGATAAATACACAATGGCAAACAGCGAAAATGGAGCAAGTTAATAAATTGTTGACAGACTTTATGAAAAATATCAAAGACAAGAGACAAGAAGAGAGAAGAGGCCTAGCCTTAAGACAAAAAGGAAGGCAAGAAGGAGATATCCGAAGAAAAGAAAGTCGGAAAGAAAGAAAATACAAGAAAGACAAACAAGAAGAGAAAAACCAAAGACAGAAATAGAGACGAAAAGAGGAAGACCGTAGACAAAAAGAAAGGCAAGCAAGAAAGAAAAGAAGAACAAGACCGACTTGCAACTTGCAACACTTTTACAAGAAAATCGGAGATCGAAAGAAAACCAAGAAGAACAGCGAGTGTCAAGCCGTGTTCTCTGAAGAACATACCCGACTCGAAAAAATCCTAAAAAGGCGAGATAATAAGTTCCAGAATGGAATCGAAGTTAACGGAACTGTTCGTCACGAAGTTGGAAACTTTCACCGAGAAATGGAGAGTGCTCAGAAGACAATTTAAAAGTATGAATGTGACTTGAAATCAGCATATTTCTTAGCTTCGCCTGACATCGGTATTAAAGTTAAATCACCATCACGCTTCTAGACTTCTGCAAAGAATAATGGTTGGAGCTGTGTTGGCATAGCACAGGCTTGATTGTAGTGTTGCGTAGGCGTACCTCAGATTAGAGACTCTTTCGCCAGCTCCCCAACGAAACTATGATGCGCTTTTGTTGATTAGTTAGAATGTCGCTATGGGGATCAACACCGACGACAGCAGGTGGCCAGTAACTGGAAGCTCTCGAGAGTATACGAGTTTGAAACCGATATCCACAGTCTGGTTGATTTGGCCTTCCCGGAACCAACAGCAGAAATGCGAGAACAATTACCAGCTGAAAATTTCATCAATTTATTATGGATGTACAGAGTATGCTACTCATAACCAAACCTTCAAGTAAAAGCGAAGCTCTAATTAACCTAGAAATCGAACCGGCTTATACAATATCCAAACCAAAATCAGAGTTGCGTCAATAGAAGAAGGGAAGGAAAAAGGGCAAATTAAAGATCCGTTTTCGTCAGAAATACCAAAGCTTGTTACAAGAGTCAATCAAGGGAACTTAGAAATGGACGGCGAATGTTTCCACTGCTGAAGAAGAGGACATTTCAAAATCGTATCAAATATCGTTCTGGTACACCGCATAACGACACTGATGTCTCATCCAGGCGACCATATCAAGTTCAATGCAAGCACTGGCTCAGAATTTATTAGCGTGCATGAGCCTTCGATTTGAAAGGGATCAAGAACGGAGAAGTTATCGATTATAAGATGGTTATCATGTTTGAACCCAAAAAACCGGGAACAAGAATGCTGATCCAAAAGGTCAGTATTACCTTTCAAGCATGAGGAATACTATGAGTAGGTACTACGACCGTCCGGGCAGGCGCAGACAAAGCGACTGGCAGCATGGCACTCAATAATGAAGAGGTGGCCATTCTTCTAGTTCATGTGACATGAGTCCATGGGATGGAGAACTACGCATGTGTGAGGGTGGACCATGACAGGAAGGCATCCTACAGGGCATTCGCTTGACAGGCAATGTAGACAGTTGGGATGATGAATATGATCACGACTATGACGAAGACTACGAAGAGTCATCGTGGAGGTATAGACGTAGAAGAGAAGGTGGTGCATCTTGAGAGGGTGAAAGCTTATCACGAGAATGAATGCATTGTTACGAATGTAAATTGTGGGGCAACGCCGGCGCCGAAGCCACTCTGTACGATCCGAATATTCGTTTCTATTGTGTAACATAAATAAACAAGAATTCACAAGAATTTACAGAGATTTTCCTGGTTGATTGATTCTGTTTTTGAAGCGCGTAGTTCGTAAATTGTAGTTTCAGTTCAAATAAGAGAACTGTTGTGTGCAGTTTAGTAAAAGCGATTAGTGAATTTTGTAGAGTCAATTGTCAAGTTAAATAAAAGTTGTTGTTATAAGAGAGGGTTTAAGTAGACGCACCAAATACGTGAACCTAAATACACTTCGAGTGCAGTAAGGCAGTCTTAACCCCATTCAAAGAAATCTGGCAAATTCCTGAAACCCTTAGTGCATTTCTCACTTCCTAAAGTTTTTTAGCAATAAAATTACCCTTCACTCTCCAACTTTTAAGGGTTCAAGCCATGTGTTTTTTCCAGATGTCGAGTTTGTTATTCAATTGGTATTTGTTAAAAATATCACTATGGTAGGCCTAATTTCAAAAAAAAAAGTAGATTTAGAAACTCACCGCACCGTATAGCAATCCACACTCATCCATACATAAATACTGACATGTAGCGACTCCTTGAATTTTCATTTGCCCGATACCAATTGTTGTCCTCTGCAATATTGCTGAAACAAAAAAAAAAATAATTTAAATATTATTATTCTAGATCTTATCATTTGGAAATGTCACTATTCTTTCGATAAAATGAATTTGATATTGAAATATTTTCCGATAGTTACTTGATCGCCGCTATAATAAGTAAGATATGTATAATATATGATTATCTACTAGTTCTTAGTGATTGTGAGAATATAGAAGCGTCACGTTTGCGGGCCACGATGCCAGTTTTTTGTGGAGCAAAAGAAAGAATGCAGGGTGATTGGTGGTTTCAATTTTCCATTGAATTGAGAAATTGTTCTAGTGCAAGTTAAATGTCTCCCTTATACAGGGTGTATATTTTAAGTGATACCACTATTGCTATATCCGAAACGATAAGAGCTACAAGGTCGGTTAAATTAGAAAAAAATTGCCTTTTTTGATGCCCATTTAAGACTTTTTTATAATGGTGCCAAATTCCTTTTAGTTTATTAAATACAGGTTCATAACTAGGGCCGAATTAAGGTAAGATTTTGGTAAAAATCACTTTTCATCACTTTTTGGAGCAGAAACGTCGGCCAATCATACTTAAGAGGTATATCATTCATTAGAAAGGGAATGAAATGCGCTTTCTAAAAATGATAAAGAAAATTCAGGTCCGTATTTAAAAAAATAAAGTTGATGATGGTAGCTCGATCACGAAACGCCGGATTCAGAATTTGAAAATGCCATGTTGTGGAGCGAAAGAAATTAAAAAACTTTCAAATTCAAATTGTGTCTCCAAAATCAATAGTTTTCGAAATAATTGATAAAATATTTTTAGGCGTTTCTTAGAAATCACCCAGTATTTCATAAACGAAACGGAATTTGGCAACACTGTAAACGAGCCTTGAATGGGCATCAAAAAAGGCAACTTTTTTCTAATTTAACCGACCTTGTAGCTCTTACCATTTCGGATATAGCAATAGTGGTATCACTTAAAATATACACCCTGTATAAAGATGTGACCAATTTAATGCATTATTGTTTTTTTTTTTTTTGACAACTTGGTGAAGGTAGAAAACGAAGTTTTGCCTATACCTATTCCGTGTGCCAATGGTGAGAAATAATTTTTTTCTGTCATTTTTTGAATTGGAAATTAATGAAACTTCAAAAATTTTAAATGTCTATACCTACCTACCAATTTATTTAAAATAATAAGTAGGCTATATTGTGTTAGAAGGACAAAAATAAATTTCCTGAAATGATTGTCCTTCAGTCAATCAACTGCAAAGTGAAATTTTTATTGAAGTCGTATCGATAAGTTGGGACAAAAATAATCATCTAAGTAAAAAAATCAATTATGATCGGCCACTTTCACCAGGCTTCTCTACTTATTATCGTCTAACCGTGAACCTGCTCTATTGGATAGTATTATACGCATTCCCTCCTTAGGATTATAATTACCACAATTGCTTCTATATACGGATTACGTCGTAATAGATAATTGTAGGTGCTTTAAGTAAAACGCTTTTATATTTAAATAATGTTTCCCTACAGGCGTGAGGTTCTGCCACACACGACTGCCACTCTTTTCATTCTTTTCGTGTTGATTATCCCATCCCAGCTCAGGTAATATGTTGTTTCCTTGATTAATTATGTCATTCAACTATAAAATCGAATCCTGCAAGTTTTTTTTCCAGGGTCTATTAACAAATTTAAAACAATCATTAGCTTCTTTGAACTGTGATTATTCATCACAGTTTCCGTACACAAAAAAGCTATTTTACAAAATCATTTATAAAGAAGTTAGGTACAATTCAAAAATTATTTTTTCTGTGAAATAAAATAGTGTGCTAACGCAGATTTTCACCAGATAGGAATTGAAAAGAATACTGAAAACAAAACTTGCACCATTTTTGTTGTCTTGGGGGGGGGGGGGGATTGGATGAAACCTAGTGTTTCGAGACGTTTACTTTGATTTGAAGAATCCATAAATAGACAATCCAAAGAAGCGGAGATTGTTTTATTTCTGATAAAAAACATTATAACGTAAGGCATATTTTATGATGTTATGTTATGACTGGCCATTCACGTTGTCTGATTCACTATGATTCGCATTCGCAAATATGAAAAAAAAGTAGCACATAAATGATTGATCCCAGTTTGAACTCTCGGTGTAACATACTAAATTTTGACAGTAAATAAACAATTTTCAGACCAGGAGATTTTGAAGATTTTTGTTAAGAGAATATTCAGTATTTCGCTTCAGGATGAAACAGAACAGTATGACTATTATTGAATCAAGTTTCAGTTGAACAAAATTTCTTGTCTATAACATGTCTACATATGGTACAATCTATGAGCCTTCAGAGCCCTGGGTACAACTTTTTGCTGTGGGGAGCCGAATATGAAAGAATTGTTTATTATTATTTGAAGAAAAGAACCACGTCCGAAGAATCCGCTGTTTTAAAATCAAAATCATATAGGTACCATATTTTATATCTTCGATTTGCCAGTTTTCATAATACCGGCACGAACTCCGCTTCACTAATCACACATCGCTTTTAATCAACTTAACCTATACAAAAATTTGCTTATTTGAACCGACTACAACATACGAACTACGCGCTTAGCATGCAAAAACAATTCAATCAAAAAATTTCTAGAATGCACGTGCATTCTGGTTTATTTAAATCACACAATAGAAACGAATATCTGAATATTCGCGCCTGAATCTTTATAGTGGCACCGGCTTCTCCACACCAATATAATTTCATAGGTAACGCCTTCCTCGCCCAAATCAGATCGGCACGATCTGACCATTTATTCTCGTGATGAGCCTTTACCCTGTCAACATGCACCACCGAGAAGGTGGTGCATCTACGTCAATATCTCCACCCAGATCCATAATTATACCATTTATCATTCTCAATTTCCCTACAGAAATATGAATTTCACAGTCCGGAGCGGTATATCTTCGGAAATAGTGTTCTGTAGTTTCTTCGTCAAACTCGTAATCATCTTCATCATCCCAAGGATACACGTGCTTAACACCTCTGTCTGCCTGTCAAATGGAAGCCTTCCTGTCCACCTGATCGTTTTTGACTGCCATGCTGCCAGCCACCATGTCTACGCCTCTGCAGATGGTCGTAACTCTCGTAGTATTTCTCATCAAAGGAATCTGAAGACCGTCTGCTTGAAGGAAAATATCGAACTTCTACATCAGCAGTCTTATTCCATCAATCTTCTTCCCGGTGGTGGTTTGATCTTCTAATTGATCACTTCTAAGCTATTCGGAAATCCATTCTTGATCCGTTTCAAATTGTAAGCTTCTAACAGGAACTCTTCCACGCTGATCAATTCTGAGGCAGTGCTTGCATTAAACTGGGCATGCCCGCCTGATGGATGAGGCAATATGTATTAGGATGAAGAAAAAATCGAAATACATAATTGTATTACTCAAACTTTAGCTGGTCACTTATTGCAGACTATGGAAAATAAATCTGCTTTTTAGTTTTTAAGTACACATTAAACTCTATTTAGGGCAGATCTAAGGCAGGTGTGCATTGTTTTTTTCCAACTATAATGTAATGTAAACCAATAAAATGATACACCATTTTTCAGGTTGAAGAAATGCAAGGTTTTTTCTCAGCCTGTATAAGAGAAAAATGTTGGGCCAAAAGAGGTTAAATGGTCGAAACTGCAGGTGTACAATTGGGGCAGTTGATTGAAAAATTGATAGGCAACTTAAATTTCAGGTATATATTATTAAACTTTTGATTACCTTAAATGAAATGTTTATCTATGTTCGCGAAGGGTTTGTCTATATGTATGGTACCTAATAGGTTTATGAAAAACGAAAAATATTTTCAAGAATGGATGTTCATAGATAACCGGTTGAAAGAGGAACCTACACGAGGAGCTTGAAGATGAATATTCAAAAACAAGGTCGATTAAAAATAACTAAAAGTTTTATCGTAGTTGATTAATATTGCCTTGTTAGAAGCACTCTGGTTGCTCCATTTATTTTATATATACAGGGAGGTGTAGAATTTATAACACCAATGAACTTGTATACTGAATAACCATGATATAAATCTTCAAAATAGTTTTTTTCTGCTCAACATAAATCACGCACCACACTCTGAGATCGTTCGTCTTCAGTAGCTAATGTATTATTTCAATTCCACAGCTTTTATATACTCGGTTGGTAATAGTAAAACTTTGGCACGAAAACATATTTTGTATATTTTTCAAATGTATATTTATATAATCTGAAATAAATAAATAAAATGACATAACAAAAATATGAGAACACGAGAAATTACATTTTTTCCTATGGTAAATTTAATCACATAAATTATTTAAATTGTGATTAAATTTGCAACCATTTCAAAGTGTTCACAAGATAAATGTTTACTGTATAACCTTGCAGGCGAATATAATTTAATGTGATGCTGATGCAGAAGATTATGTTACGAACACCTATGAGAAGTAGATACTGCTTTAAATTGCTGCATGTAAGTATTAGGCCATTAGGCCTTAATGTCATAAATGTAAATATATATAATGACGATATTTAATATTTAGTATGGATAATCTTCTTCAGTCGACATCTAAAGAATAGTATCGTCTGGAAAATTAAACAATATAAAACCAAAAAAAAATCACTAGCATCTGATATATTATTAGTGTCTGCTAAATATATATTTTTTTCAATTTTCATCATCATTTTTCAAATGTATTGGTAGGTACCTACTAATAAAAACGATTTAAAAAACTCTAAAACATCAACATATTATTTATGTTCGTCATTAGATTATATCATTGCCAATTATTGTAATGAAACCGGAGCTGCACATGCGGCATTCGGCGAATTGCGAAAGTTCGCCAACTACCGATTCAAACCCAATGAAATTCGCCGTTTCATCCGGGCATCGCCGAACTCCGAGCGAAAAAGTGGGAAAACTCCGAACGTTCACCAAGAGCACCCAGTGTCCTAGTTGCAAATTAAAAATGGAATGCGACGATTCTCTAGTATAATTGC